TTAAATAATTAGGGATCCATCGGCTGTTTATGCCAAAAAATCATCAAGTAACCTTTTAGAAAATGAAATTAGTGAATAATTTGATGAATTTTCTCTTTGAGAAATCCCAACATTATCCACTTACAATTAGTGTGACAACTTTTGACCTATCCATGGCAGGCAATGAAAATCTCTTAATTTCATTTTAGTAAACATTGTAATGGAAAATAACAGTTCAACAACTAATAGTCCTACAAACCATAATCATTTATAGGTTAAATATTCATATATACTTTCAAACATCTCTAGAAACATATGAGCCTTTCTGTTGACAGAATGACTAACCCCAAGTTCAGCATTGTTTATTATTAAATTTAGTGATGTTTCTAATGACAAAATGTATACCTCTAATCACAGTTCTATATTTCAACAGTGCAATCACCTACTCTGGAATCAACTTACTCACTGTCTGTATAGATATAACTTTTTCAACTAGAAATATCACTAAAATGACATTACTCAAAAATGTTGGAATTGGATATAGTCATTCTGTCAATTGAAAGGCTGAAGTTGGGTGGTTTATTAGAGCAGATGGAATAACCAGGACCCCCTCCTCCCCCCCCCAAAAAAAAAGTATTGCGATCGTGAAAATGTTCGAACGGACTGAGTTTACAACGGACATACACGTTTTGAGGTCCCCTGAGACCAAATAATCAAGTCCCGCAAAATGGTCTGTGTGTGTGATCAGCCTAGCTCAAAAACGAAAAGTCTTACGAAACTTAAATTCCGTATTTAAGGTTTGTATATGGTCCCGATGTGACAGAAGATTTTTCGTTAAAATAGGCTGACCGGAGGTGCCACTTTATATCAATGATGATACACATTTTTACAATTTTCTCAAAAACGGCTCTTACGATTGTGATTAAACTCAGTATATCAGTGTATTATTAAGTTGTTTTTAATACCAGCTAGACCTTATACACATTGATGTCACTTCATAGGGCTTAAATATCCAACGCTCTTATACATCTTCCTCTTGATTTTTATCCATCTTTAATTTGGTTTATTTTTAAAAAATAACTCGGATAATAGTTGTAATGAAAGAACCAAAGGAATACGAGGGCGTCTGAGCTCGCCCGAAAGAGTACATACGTAACATGAGCTTAATATAATACGGACTCCGACAATATTATGTACAAACACATATGCAGTTTTCATAAATTCTATCGTTGGTATTATTTAAAATTTAATTGTATAGAATACAGCGATATGAAAATTAAAATTTGCCGATATAATGATATTTAAACATATAAAATACCCACAATGAAATTTAAATAAATATAGCGTCTATAACTTTTACGTTCACTTCCCCTTTGTCTGAAAATACTTATTTATGCTAAGTAGAGGGTGGTACGTGATCCGCGTGATTAGCGCACCAGATTTGTAATTTATTAATGGTTGCCTGCGGCTTATGGCTTAGTACATTAGGAGTTAGTAAACTAGAAATCAATTTAATTATTGCGGATCATAAACTACCCCAGATATTTTTGGCGTTGCTATCTTATTGGTAACGTGAACACATCAGTAGTTTATTTTTATTGACTTCCAAACTTCGGAGCTAGCAGCATAAGAAGAATGATCTGGCTCTTTACTTTTCTGCTCTCTGCAATTCGTCCGGCCTTGTTCAGCTAGCGCCCTTTAAAATTGTTGAGGTCCAAATTTATCTCTTGGGCCGAACGTCAACAGTTACTGCTTCGAGTGAGGGCAGCGTCGCGCTGACAAGCCTAATTTATCCTTGCATTTTTTATACATTTTCCGGATATGTCGGACATTATACATATGTCCACTATGTCGAACCTAGTAGAGAACGTCTCTATGTACTTCCCAATGTCTGAGCCCACAGAAGATAGGAGAGGAAAGAAGGCTTACAAATTGGACAGTGAAAGTTTCGGGGAATAGGACAGAAATTGTGATATTCAAATGTTGTGTGATTTCACATGAACTTTCATTTTATGTCAAATAGTTTTATTTGTAATTGGATTGTTTAAAACATCTTTGTGTATCTAGAGCAATAGTAAAACACAGTCCCGTCAAATTTTTAATTTATTCAAAAATCTATATTATACATCACAACTTAATGCCAATTTATATTACTACATAATTCTAACAGGGGGCTGGGGTAGCCTTATGGGCTAAGGCGTTTGCAATAGGTAATCAAAGTTAAGCAGCGCCGAGCATGGCACGTGGAAGGGTGACCATCCACCAAGGAAAGCCACGCTGCCCGAGATTCCTTCCCCCTTCCCGTGTATGTGAGGCCCGTCAGCGTACTGGAGGAAACTCACACCGAGCGACCGGGCGGCGTAGGATTGATGACCCTACCCCGTACTTTAAATTGGGAATCAGGATGTGATCTAGGAGACCATATTCGCGGTCAAAGATCTTCATGATCTGTAGCGCCAACCGAAAAAAAAAAAATAATAATCCGTACATATATTATTACAGTAAGGCTCGAAATTGGTTTTGTACCAAATATAAGCTCCTGTCATGCTCAAATACCACGAATGGGGTACCGTTGGATATAGAATTTCACGGGGGGTTAGCGAAACGTAGTCTCCACTTTTGTTTTTCTTTCTAAAATAAATAAAGTCGATACAAACATTTTGCTATGCTTCGATACTGGAACGGTGGTAGGTCTTTCGGAACTATCGGATCCTGCATTTTTAAGCCGAAAAACGTACTAATTTCGAGATAACGCAAGACATAAGGTTCGCATCCACATAATCTTACATTAATTGTAGTACTGTCATTGAATACATGTCTCATTTCGTCGACTTGAGGTCTCTATCATCGAGAGAGGGGGAGTTTATATTATTCATCAATGGTGTTTTTGATCGGCAAGCCATATCATCGTTAATTTTTCACCAAATCTCAAGATTGAGCCACCAATTTCGAAGGCTTCCTTCTCCTTCACGCTGGCAAAATAGTCCAATCACCCAGAAAATTCAGGCAAATAAGTTATGAAAGAAAATAAACTTTATTTGCGAATAATTGAAAAATTACACACTTTTCCCTTGGTTATTCCCATGATTATATAAATTGGCAATTAGACGCTATATATAATATAGAATTTTAAAGAAATTAAAAATCCGAACTGTTTTTGGTTCAGTTTATTTTATGTTAACAAAAAATAATACAACCTGAACTACAGAATACATGTAAATTACAGTTATACAATTAAAGTAACAAGTTGTATAATTAAATGAACAGTTGTATAATTTTTAAAATGAGGGTTGGTCCCTCAGTATTCAGACAGGTAGTGCCCTCCTAGTTTTATATATATACAGATATATATTCTGTTTTTCCATCAGGCAGAAATCATTCACTATAAAAAATTTACTTACTGTATTTGCTATTGCCTACAACATGCTAATTAAGATTCTTCCATAGAGAGACTGACGGAAATTAATTTTTAAACATTTCAAAATTATGCCAATAACAAAACATGACTGTTAATATACAACAATTTATTTTGTCATTGGAGCAGTTATAAATGGAACTCATTATTTAAAATAAACTTGATGAAAGACACGAGTTTTATTACCTGTTTGTACTCTACAGTTCCCATTCCCATGATCTGGCATGGATGCCAAGGTGTATATGAAAACAACAAATAAAAAAAAAACTTTATTAATTTAGAAAATAAACATAAAGTCTAAGGACAGAATGACTTTTATATCAAATAAAATGAATTATTTTAAATTATATACATCCATTGATTTAATGAAATAACTTATTAACTATAAGTATAAAGAAAATATTTGTAATTTATGGAGAAAAATATAATAAATTGCCTTTTGTGCATAAACTATAATTTAATTACATAAATTCTAAATGTAATAAACAATGCCCATAGTTTCTAATAGGAATACATTATAAATATTTATATCTATTCATAAATTTTTTCTTCTTCACATTTTTCTCCTATTCAAACATAAAGGTAAAAAACAATAAATAAATAAAACAATTGCTTCATGTTTGAACGATAAATGATTAAATAAATTAATAAGTTAATTCATATCATAGTAGCTAAAGGAACAAATATTTTTATTCTTTGTAAGAACTCAGAAGGGCCTAGGAAAAATAAAAAACATTATACTCACTGAAATTAAATACTACAGCTGTACTAAAATAAAAACAATTAGGAAAGCTATAAAATGAAAATTTGACAAAAGGCTTGTCCACATATTTTTCGCCATTGTTGCATGTATACGTAATTATGTTACTAGGTAACATAGTTTGGTTAAACAATTAAAAATTGGTTTTAATAGACAATAACAAAAATATTACACATGTAGTAGCCAGGATTGTCAATGTAAAAAGGCACAATAATATTTTGAAAGTCAATTTATATTGAAATAAAATAGGATGTCCATATATATATTAAATATACACGTTAGTAATAACCAAACAAATAGTAAAATGAAGAAAAAATCCTAATGGAAAATGTTCTATATTATACCATGTATATAAAAAAATTTATAACTCATTAAAATTCTTTCTAGAATTCATCTTGCTCTCTTTTTCCAACAACCTATGTTTTTTAGGGAAAAATATAGACGGAATATAGCTCAGATAGACGGAATACGGGTCTAATGACAGCTGAGCTCATCACATAGCCATTTTTCAGCCAAAGCTTAAAATTGAATAAGATATTTAATATAATTACCATTTTTTAAAAAACCTATATTTTATGTGAATCAAATTCACATACAAAGAGAGAATGTGATGTAAAACAATATATTAAATAGCAATTTAAAATAAATTAGTATTATAACATAAATTTAAACTCAAGTTTTTTTGGCTATAGAAATAATTTTAACCAAATGAAAGTGAGATCTTTGTAGTTACTTTTTATTAGTTTACTTTTATATATTTATTAATTAGTATATATATATATATATATATATATATATATATATATATATATATATATATATATATATAGTTTTTTTTTAGTATATATTTTACAACAACTCAAAAATATTGATAACAAATTAATTTTGGGCTAATATAATCCTAAGCAAATTATTTAATTTAAAACTAACAATACCTTACTTTGATCTGTTTCGATTTTATATAATTTTTCAATAAAAAGATTTGTTTGAGAATATACATGCTTCCCCTATATACAAAACTCATATATTATTATTAGAAGATAAATTAATCATTTTTCTGAGCCTTTAATGCTTAAATCACAAAAGTATTCTCAAGTAATCCTATATTAATTTAGCACGTATAAAATGGTTGGAACTGTTTTAGAACACATACAATTTTTGCCATTATTTGATAAAAGTAATTATCACTCTGAACTTGTGATATACCATAATTGTTGATTTCTTATGAAAATTCATAAGCACTCTTGAGAAGATACGACATAATCATAACTCTATCAATATAAAAAAGCCTCAGTTTACATAATCATGAAAAAACAAAAACAATTATGGATACTTAAAAGGCAACAAGTTTGACTACTGATTAGAGTTACTGCTCAATAAAATTAAAGAAAGGAATTCAGCCCTTCTCTTTTAAAACTACAAAAGATTTTAGATAAACAATTAGTAACTCAACATAAAAAAAAAAGAACACATGCCAAAAAAATAGCATTAAAATTTAAAAATATACATCAATAAATAACAAGTTGAAATTCGGTAGATCAATTAAGACAATGAAAGACAAAATTACAAACTAGATTTGACCAGTAAATAAATAAAAATCACATCAAACAAAAAGTCAATAAATATATTTTGACCTGTTGAATTTTAGTGTATGTGCTTCACCAGTTAATCTTAAATTACTTTTACATATAGAGATTCTGTGATATGAATTCAGAATCAAAGTATATGACTGTAACAGAGATATCATCCCTGTAATATCTAACTACATCCTGAGGAAAGGAGAGGAAAAAAGAAATTCTAGAATGTTCCACACCAATATCAGTCCCTCCAAGGGCATTTCTAATTAGATGAGTTGCTGCATTCCTGTCTTCTGGTACCTACAACAAAATATTTCAGTTTTGAAAAAAAAATTTATTGTAAATCAATTTATTTCTCTTAAGATATTTTAAAAATTCAACTATAGACCACTTAGTAAGCAACTTTATCTAAAAAAGTAAATCTCTTAGAAATTAATTAAAGCTAAGATTTCTTTTTAGGAAAATTTTTTATGGGGTGTGGTTGAGGAGGGGAAGTAGGCTGGAACTCCTCTTTAGGTATCTAGGCATATTAAGTATCATTTTGTATATATTTCTTAATGATGAATTGAATGAATCCAAAACTAAATCAATACATCCACTATTTTATAAGTTACAAATGTTTTAATATAAAAAAGGATCTGCTTCGACAAGTCTTGAGCAAAAAAATAAAAGGGATTTTTTTTTTCAAATAGGATTGTATGAAGAAACTAATATCTATTATATATATATATAATAAAAAACTCGTCTTCACAAATTACTGTAATTGTTTATACAACTTCACTGTTACATTAGTATTAAGGTAAGGTCAACTTAAGCTTAAAGTGCCTACTTGTTCATTCAAGACATGAAAGAGCTGTATATCAGCAGAACATGAAAGATCAGAGAACCTTTTATGTGATTTCAACTGATGTAGTCATCGAGCAGCCAATGAACGCCTCAAAGAAGCAAGTGAATTTAAGGGTTTTGTGCCTATTTGCCTCCCACCAAGAAAGAGTAAAGCATAAAAGATTTGACTAGTGTTGGGCACTTTTTAGGTATGGTTTAAAACATAGGTGGTGAACTTGCGGCCTCTGGTAGTATATGTGAGGTTTCATGAAGGCTTTCATTTATGCATTGATATTAATTGAACTATATTATATTATATTAAATTCACAGTTTTCGTCTAGACCTCGACAATTTTTAGTAATATGAGTTACAAACTTCTCCATGTTGTTTAGAACGTTTTGGAAGATGATATCAATTTAGAGATATCCTGAGAACCATTTTTCGACTAAAGCAGTTATGGCCAGAGACCATAGATATGTATTTGGACAATAATAAATAAAAACTATGAAATATAAAAAAAATATAGCAGCCTGCTTTGTCACTGGATAACACAAATGCGTGTGAAAAGAAACTTTAGCTTAAAATAATTACTAAGAAAAATGCTAAATTTACTGGACTAATCATATGGTTTATTTGTTCATATGACATAAGAATTATAACTAAATTCTTAAAATTAAAGCACATTTTAGTGATCATAGCATACATTATTCAGCCCTTCTCGCCTTGCTAAAAGTATAGAATTAATCTCCTTCAACTTCTTGTCCTTTGGAATCCTGATAGGTGTCAAGGCAGCCTTACCTCTCATGTGTTCCCCCACCATACGCACAACCTGTAATCATTTTTAAACCTAATTATTAAATTAAATTATAGTGCATGTCTATTTGTTATAATAATATGAAAAAATTACTCCCTATCTTATAATTTTTATTGCAATTTAAAAACACACTCAGTATCCAGAGGTCGCTAGAAAAACATATGGGTTTGAATTAAAACATATGCTAGTAAACAATACTATGGATTATAACGAATTGCTCATGTTTTTATTCTATTGTGTTTTTAAATTTAAATTTGTATGTACTTAATATTAGTTGAGTACAATTTCATTTTTTTAGCATGTTACTTTATTTCATACTTTTTTTAAACTATGATTAATCATCCTCAGATAGAACCTAAGTAACCAATAAGTAAATGTCTAAAATTTTACTGGAGTACAATCAACATAATAATTAATAGTATAAAAGTTGTTTGATCTTTAATAAACGAAGATGTTTCAGAGTGCCCCATATGTTGAATTCCTTACCAAATAAGTAACCAGTCATAATTCCATATTATGAATTCAGCTCTTCAGATAGATTAAAAAAAGTAGGCAAACCCTTATATAGGGGTAGAGTGTAATCAAAGAGTATGTACCGATGGAATCTTATTAGCAGATGCAATAGATAAATTTTGTACAGAATTTCACATAGAAATCCTTCAGTTTCATGCCAAAGTAGGAAAATTTTAGACGTCTGTCAGACCTATATTTAGTAAAATTACATTTTTCTCTACATTAAATCATGATCTTTTCACTGCATTAAAGTTCTTGTTTATTTTATTTTTTCCATGAAATTCATACAAATTATTTCAAATTGCTATAAATTAGCTGCCATAAATAAGTTGCAGTTTATAACTCTTTATTCTATACATAAAACGACGGCAGTATGTTTGTCAATATGCTTGAAAAAAAAGTAATGTTTGTTTAGAATAGAATAGAATAGAAAATAATTTTATTCTGGGAGAAAGTCCCTTTAGAATAACAAAATTAATTGTAATTGTTGATGATTTGATAGAGGAACGTACCTAGGAAATATTGTCTACGAATGGAGGGGTGAGAGACATAGGAGTATCCTGGGAGACCAATTACAAATCTAACGCAGCTATTCAAAAGTCTTTTCAGTCTGTCAAGGAGCTCCACTGAGAGGCCATTATACACCACACAGCTGTAGTCAAAGTGGGGGAAGATGAGAGATGAAACCAGGAGTTAACGCGTATGGTGAGGTAGGAGATGGCAGAAGTGATGGAATAGTTTGAGGGTAGAAATTGTCCGTCGGGAGATGTGAGAAATATGGTGATTCCAGGAGAGGGTTTGATCAATGAAAAATTAATTATTGTATGTTACATAGTATGTAACATACAATTTTTTGTGTTTGCTTATAATCCCAAAAATAAGTAACCACCTTAGGGAAGAAAACATTTAATTTTTGCAACATAAACACTTATAGTTATACTAATAACATGTTAAAAACTATATAGTAAAAAAAAAATACACAGGGAATTGATAGACTTCTATTATAGGATTTTTGCACATATTCTACCTCTAATGGTGAAAGAAGTTCCCACAGACCATCAGAAGCAATGACTAGAAATTTGTCCTTTGGCGTTATCCTATGGTAGGTAATATCAGGTTTGGCAGTTAAGTACGGAGGAGTATAATAATTTGGAGGGATGGCTGTAGAACCGAACAAAGGAACAGCGAGTTTTTTAAGCTTTTGTGTGCTCCACTTATACCTGAAAAAGACAAATTCATTAATTATGCGATGATTGAATTTTTAAACCAAAATCAAACAATAAAAACCTATTAATTCAAATATATTAACTCTAGAATAAAACCATGTCATTTTATGATACTTACATTTGTATTGTTATAAATAATGGATCTAAAATATTTAATTATAAATTTGAAAACATTATCTCATTGCTATTATATAGAAAATTGTTCCATCAATTAGGGCAACAAATAACATTTATTATTAACAAAAATAATCATTTAATATTGAATGTGGTTTTCACTTTTATTATTTCTAACAAAAAAACATAAAATGAAAATAATTATTTAATTTGTTTATAGCAATGTGGTCAGTAATATTTTTTAAAACTTTTTTTCATAAAATGTTTGATACTCTAAGTGTTTCAACACTTACATTCATATATTGTGAAATTTCTAAAATTTAGTTTTGTCTATCATAAATTGTCTTTATTCATTGTTCTCCTTATTATTGGATATATATAGCTATAGCTTTTTGAAATGTCTCAAAATGAAAAACTCTAAGTATGTGCATTTATCTTACACAAGAAAGATAAAGGAGACCTTGTCGTATGTCGAAGAAGGAAAGGTTCACACATGGAAATAAAGCTACACACAACTCTAGTTACTTTTAGTTTAATATTTTTTTCCCCTTCCTGGCACTTTTTCCATACGGGGTTTTGGCAGCAGTAGGTTAATACATTGGGAATACGTACGCCTACTGCTGCCAATAATAAAGCTTTTTATTTTATTTGTATTCAACTTTAATGATTGAATACTGTGGTGTGACTTGGTACACGGGTGTGGGCCGCACCTTAGTCTCCAGCTGCTTGCGCGTTCTACCCTCATGGGTTGCTTCCTCCAGCAGCTTGATGCTGCCTCTGCAGATCCTCTTCCTCCTAGCCTGCTGGTAGAAGTCCTCTCCCTATTCGTGAAGTGCGTAGGATCCACCTTCTGTCTCCATTTTCCCACGAACTCCATGAAGTGTGGGTATTTCTCTTCTTCCATCAGTTGGGGAAGTTCCTCTTCATCTGGAGCATACAGTCCCGTCCTCCACATCAATACGCCTCTGGTTTGCTCCAATGCGGTGAAAGATAAAACGACATATCAGAGGCACCACAATCAGGACATAAGGGGTCAATGTTCTTCCCAAATCTCCATGATGAGAAGTCATGATCAATTTCTTGATATTAAGATGTGACTGACAACAGAACTGAAGGCCCATCCAAACACTCAGTTTTATCTGAGGGTTGAGTGGTCAGACAATAAACCTCAGAGAATTCCATCAGTCCGTCAGATCAATGATTCTTCATCAGTTTCTCTTCCACATGTCAGATTAATCTGTTACAATCCTTCTTATCAGTCTGATAGGACTATGTACTTGCAAGAGGAGAATAAAGAAACATGTCATTGGCAGTTTGTAGAAAATTCGGCTTCTGGAGTATTTCATCTTATATTAGTTTATTTTAGTATACTTTCTTTTTGGAAAAGTAACAAGCAGGCCACATAGTCTAGCTTAATCAAAAACTAAATTTACATATATTAATCATATCTTACAACTAAAATTCGTAATGGCAATTAATAAATTAGAAAACAGTACCTGACATCACCGAATGCTCTTAGAGGAGCAAGTTGGCCAAGAAGCCTCTCACATGATATGACTGTATCGCTTTCACTAGGCGGATGCTCACTCAATATTCGCTCAACCTCTGCTGGACAGTCTGAATTATGAGCTATATTCAGTTGGTTAGCAGTCCATGTTTTGCTGTCATTCAGAACTCCGACAACAGCCTGACAGTCTCCTACACTGGCTAAGTACAGTTCGGATTCCTTGATGTAAGCAAGGCAAGCTACTGCTCCCGCCATGCACACCTGCGGTACGATCAATCACTATTTCAGATTTATGAAATATAAATAACATCTAATGGCATGTAAATTATTTTACTCAAATATCCTCTAAAAGCCCAATTTTAACAGCTCATCAGCAATTCTAAGGAGGAGTCTACTCTACTAAACTATCACTTAAGTTCACTTGGATGAAAAAAAAAAAATGATTTTAATTTAAAAATTGTTACAAAAATAAAAGATACTTTTCTTGTGAACATCAAATGACAATGAGTTTAAATAGAAATTCTTTGACAGGAAAGATCAAAAAGATAAATTCTGCTTCATTTTATTTGTAATATAAAATAAACTCCAACTATATCAGTCGATAAAGTATAAAAAATAAATCATATGAGGGTAGAGATATGAAAAAATATCATGACAGCTGTCTGAAATCCTTATCATTATTGTGAGTGTTGAGTTTTAACATGTTGAACATCAGGTGTTGACATATTGAAATAATACGATGTTTAAGCAACTTAAAGTGTTTTAATTTACTTATGTTTAGTCCAATCAAATTGTATAAAAAATTTGAAAATGATTACAAAAATTAGGGTAGCTGTATTTTAATATGCTGTCTGGGTTGCTAAAATGTTGACAAATCCAAATTTGTTAACAAATTTCACCAAAACTTTTGGAAAAACTGCTACATTTTTATCTGTGTTCCTATCTTTTAATATATAAATTTGACAACAAAAAAAACTCATATTTTCTTCACTTTTTTTAAATGTTTTAAATTACTTAATTTTTAAGACCAATACAATACTTGGAGCTGTAATACATATAGCGATAGAGCTCTTTAAATAATAATATTTATAATAAAAAATCTGGGTCACCGCAACACACAACTTTCACTTACCGCTCTGCTTGAATATAAATTATTTTATGGCAATGTTGGACTATTATAAAATTTTTTAAGTGCATTTTTAACCAAGCTAAAGCTTAAAGCTGACACTTAACTAGTCATTAATACTATTAAAATAACAAAAATATTATTTATTATAATAACGATTGATAATAGATTGTACGACTATTAGTTATTGAAAATTATTTTCCATTACAAAGTTTACCGAAATGGAATTAAGAGATTTGCATTGCCCGTCATAGATAGGTCAAAAGTTGTCACACTAATTGGATACAGTTGTGATATTGAAAAGGGAAAATTCAGCAAATTATTCACTAATTTAATTTTCTAAAAATTAACATGATGATTTTTCGGAATAAACGGACTCTAGATACCTAATTATTTAAATATAATATCAGATCTAGAGTTATTAAACTACAGTAAATGTATTTAGGCTTATATATCCATGAAATATTTTTATATCTCACTTTTTCTTTCACACAACTACAATGAAATAGTATTTTAAACAATGTCATTGCCTTGATTCAGTGGGTTTTAAATACTTTTTTTAAATTAAAAATTTATTTTAAACGTTTACATTGAATAAAAATATTTCATTTGATTTCCTTAAAAAGATGTGATTTACGTTAAATAATGATAGTTTTCAGAAATTATTATTTATATTTTTTTTTCATCACTCTCTGTTATCTTCTACAATTGTATTTATTAGATATAATTTTTTTTCCAAAATTCTCTGCTTTCCAACGATATATTATACTTATTTCTTCTGATTATTATTTCCAGAGATTCATTTTCGACCTGGATAACCATTTTTTTTTTCTTCTTTATTTATTATCAAATTCTTTCAAAAGTTTTATTTAGCCATTTTTTTTTATAGTTACTGTCAATAAGAGATTATTTTTTTTTTAAATAAACCAAATTAAAGGTACTTAAGAGAAATATGTACAAGAACATTGGGCATTTGAGCCCGGTAAAATGACATCAATGGGGATGTCACTATGATATGATGATATTAAATACCACTTAATTATACAATGATACATCGAGTTTAATCAAAATCGTTAGAGACGTTTTTAAGAAAATTGTAAAAATGTGTTTCACCGTTGATATAAAGTTGCACTTCCGATTAGCCAATTTTAAGGAAAAAGCTGCTGTCACATCGGGACCATATACAAACCTTAAATACGGAATTTAAGTTTCGTAAGGCTTTTCGTTTTTGTGCTAGGCTGATCACACACACAGACCATTTTGCGGGACTTAGTTATTTGGGCTCAGGGGACCTCAATACGTGTATTTCCGTTGAAAACTAAGATACGAAAATTTTCACGATCGCAATACTTTCCCGCACTATATATTTCATACATAGGTAAGTGGAAGTAAAAATATGAAAAGTTCAAATTCTCTATTGGTTATTGCTTGGTAGAAACTAATTAATGAATCCTACAGCAAAGTTTGACATGATAACTTTTGTAGTAGAGATAAATCCCTGAAGTTTAAGTTGACACTGATTCCACCAATTTGTATAAACATACCGTTTTTTTTCAAAATAAAATAATGGGTAGTTCTAATTCATCTAATATTCAACATGATACAGGTTCAATACTTGGGTCAATTTATTAATATGGATGAATAAATTTATAAATGCAATATGAATAATACATAACTAAAAGTACATCTTGGTGATATTTTTACTTTCACTTACGTATATATATAATATATAGTAAGGGTAAGTATTGCGATCGTGAAAATTTTGGAATCTCAGTTTTCAACGGAAATACACGTATTGAGGTCCCCTGAGCCCAAATAACCAAGTCCCGCAAAATGGTCTGTGTGTGTGTGTGTCTGTGTTAACAGTCTAGCTTATAAACAAAAAGTAGTATGAAACTGATATTAAGTATTTAAGATTTTTATATGGGCCGGATGTGACAGTAACTTTTTCGTTAAAATCGGCTAACCGGAAGTGCCACTTTATATGAATGCTGAAACACATTTTTAAAATTTTCTCAAAAATGGCTCTAACGATTTTGATTAAACTCAGTATATCATTGTATAATTAAGTGGTCTTTAATATCATTTAGGTCTTATCCCCGTTGATATCACTTTACAGGGCTTAAATGCCCAATGTTCATATGCATCTTCCTCTACAGTACCTTTAATATGGTTTATTTTAAATAATCAATTATCTCTCATTATTTAAAGTTATGAAAAAATGCTAAATATAACTTTTGAAAGAATTTGATAATTGAATAAAGGAGAAAAAAATAAAAATGCCTACCCAGGTCATAAATGAATCTCTGGAAATACTAGTCCGAAGATATACGTATAATATATCGTTGGGAAGCGGAGAATTTTAGAAAAAACAATATCGAATATAGAAAGTTGTAAAAGATAGTGGAGATTGGTAAAAAAAATTATAAATAATATTTTTTGAAAACGAATAATATTTAACCTAAATCATATGTTTTCAAGGAAATTAAATGAAATTGATTAACTAAATGCAACCTTTTCAAATATTTTTAAGTTTGAAAGAAATATTTAAGATCCACCTCATAAAGGCAATGACATCGTTTAAATAACTATTTCATTGTACTTGTGTGAAAGAAGAAGTAAAATATAAAATCATTTCATGCATAAGTTTATAACCTTAAATATATTTACTGTAGTTTAATAATTTTATTACAATCCATAATCAATTGATCGTGCAATACATTATCAACGGTACAATCCATAATAAACCGGTGATATAATAAATAGGGTTTTGGTTATTTTAATGGTATTTATTATTCTTAGCTATAATTTTTTAGCTTCAGCTCAGTTAAAAGTGCAATTCAAAAATTTTATAATAGCCCGATATGGCCAAACATTATTTCTATTCAAAGTTTACCGGTAAGTGAAAGTTGTGTGTTGCCCTCACCAGATTTTTTAAATATAAAAATGAGAGGAGGGTTGGGTTTTATTTCGTCATTTATTGTCTCTCATCTGTGGGCCTCATGGGTAAGTTATTTTGTTTAACTAATTTTAATTACCATCAAGATGAAATCATAATTATATTTTATTCATTATATATTTATTAATAAATTGACAGAAGTACATGTAAAATGTTAGCTAAATTAGAATCACTTGTTCTTTTATTTTTAAAATATGATAGATTAATTTTATTTTTAAAATTTTTACAAAAAAAGTTCCACCAAGAGAGTTAAAATGGAACTGTTTATAAAGTTCTATCATAGTTTCAAACCCCGCTGACTAGACATCATTTGATTCAATTAATTCCTGGTTATAACATGATCCTTAAGGCCTGAATATGAACCAACCAGCCATCTTATGGCTAATGAACCTAAGTCTCTTTTGATCTTACTTTCTAAAATATGAATCCTTTTCTTTAAGTGAACATAAGAGTCTAAGGATTCGTTTTGTGATGAACACAGAGCCAGTAATTATCCTCTCATTGGCTATTTACACTAAGTTAACACAGTTTAAAAGCTCTAACAGAATTTTAATTACTTGAATTCTTGTTCAAACGTTTTTAAACAATACTGCAATGAGAAAAATACTATGTCATTGAAAGATCAAATTAAGACTGCAGTAAAAAAGTCTCCTGACACTAACTATCTTGTTACTAAAGGAATCGAACAGAGATAAATTATTCTTATTCAATTTGAACTATATTTATATTTATTTTATTGTTATAAAATTGAGGATTGTTATAACAATCCTCTATACTTTTATCAAACACAGATATTGCATAAATGTTACATAAATGAACAGGTGAGTTAATTTTATCCAGGAGTTAATAAGCATATTAAAAAAAAAACGTTTACTTTACCGTCATTCCCTTTCTGTCAACTTCTCCATTTTCATGAACACCTTCACAAGAAATATCATCATCTAGCTTCAGAAGAGCATATTCTATAGCATCTTTTGTAGCCATGATTTCTTTATTAGATAGGATATCAATATGCTGAAGTAAACTCTTTTCATATTTTTCTTTTAACTCTGTCACAAATTCATAGTTATCATTAAAACTTTTAACAAGGTTCAAGTTCTTATGCTCAATTATAGATTTTAATTTATCTTTAGGGAGCAAGGCAGCATCGACATAATGAAACATCCGTTTTGCAAGAACTTGTGCGCAAGCAGGACTTACGTGCCCATCAATAACCCCTGCATAAAATCCTGTGAACAAAGTATACATTATCCTTTGAAATAATTTATCATACATTAAAATAAAATGACTACTTTATAAAAACATACATAAAAGAACTAATTGAGGCATGGTTTAACAAAATTCACACACCCCCATCATGTAATGACACAGCTTCTGCTCTCATATCCTCCATGGGATCATTGGATCTAAGTTGGTTTGTATCAAATGACTTGATAGGTCCACCTGGAGCAAACTCCTGGGTATACTCAAGTTTTGTCAATATACGGTTTACCTAAAACAATTAAATTATTGGATATTAATATTGTTCACATAAAATTAATGATATAATTCTATATGAGGCACAACGGTGATTATTTCTGATGAAATAATATACTTTTTAGAAGCGTTCTTTAACTTCGTTACTTTTTGAAAGTTATTGCTAAATTAAACCAACTCCAGTCTTTCAAATAATTATTAATCTATGACTGAGAAAAAAATAGAATAAAACAAAAAATAAGTATCGATGAAGATCAATTGCTCTCTTGCATGAGAGTATCGGAAGCTTAAGTTTATTTTCATACCAAAAATGGATATTTCCAAACATTCGCAATTAAGGGTATGTCATATTGTCTTCACGGATCAAACATCAGTTGCTATTCCAACTAGACAATATTTCTTAACGAAAACGGGAAGAAAAGGTATAACTAATTTTGGTTCCTAAGTTTCTTTAATTAAAAATCAAATTACAAACAAATCAACAAAATGAATATCCTATTTTTAAAGAAGTAAAGTCCATTTAACTTCTCCTAAACATAAGAGCAAGTGATGTGAATGGTGCATTAAAAACAATTTTTGCAATATGTCACTTAACAGTTTTCGATTCTTAATTTCTCTAATTGCTCCTAGATTTTATAAGTGTACTACAATTTATAGAGATTGGATTCAAAACTGACAAAGACCCTCCACTTTTGAGACAAAAGTTGGAGATCACAAAGGCTAACACATATTATACAACAAAACTAAAATTCAATCAATGCCAATGTCTTTCATTGTCCCACTCAACAATTCAAAACTAATCAAAAGAGAAAATATAGTTTGTAATCAATAAAAAAAAAAAAAAAACTTATTTCATTTTAGATTTCACATTAACAAAATTACACTAGAGAGAAACACTTTATTTTCATTAAATATAAAATATAAAAGATTGCTGCCCAATTATATTGGGTTGCTATATACACAGCATACTCTTCTATCCTTAGGACAATAAATGAACTTATATATAAATATACAGAAGTATTAGTTAATATTAGTCAAATAGATATATCATTTATAATCACGTAAAGAGGGAAAACAAAAAATATTTACAATTTGATTCGTTAAAAGGAAAAAAAAGAACCTTTACAATATCTATTTTATTTTAGCTATGAGAAAACAATGGCTATTTTTAGATTGTTGATGCCCTCAATCCCAAAACAATTCTATTTTATACAATATTGCGGAAGGAAAAAAAAACAGCTAACACAGGGTGTATCTTAAAAAAACATAATCTAGGGGGAATAAGTAAAGATAAATATTTACAAATTAGACAAGGTTCTTGACTGTAAAAAATTGTTCACATTTAGTTAGACCACTAAGGTCAAACTTAAGTCCTGATTAAATTGTATGATAACTAAGTTTTAGTAACCAACTCCATTAAATATTTTATTAAAGCTTATACAGCACTGATTATTTAAGATTGGTGATAATATAAGCAATTTCTTAATTATAAAAAGTACAAAAATTTTGAAAAACTAAATAACATTTGGAAACTATTCAATTATTAATACAATAAAAAATATAATAAATTATTTCTTACTTCTGCAGGAGATAATCGAGGAGTATTGATATTATAGCTAGGGACAGATGCTCTGTAGACACCACATTTAAATAAAGAATTGATAAAACTAAAACTAATTTTGTTGTGAGAGAATAAATTAGATACTAGGGTCAACACCATCATTCCTGGGTTCTCATCTACCCCCTATCAACCATGAAGCACAATAAAAACAAAAAGTAAAAACCATTGGGAAGGTATCAAATGCCTTCTATATCAGTTACACAAAAAAATTTTGGGCAATATGTTTTAATTTATTTATGATATATTAATATAATTTTATTAAACTTTTTATCCAACTTTCCAAACTCAATTTATATAGCTTTCTGTATTCAAATATAAATCTATAAATAAGTTATAAAAGTTTTGTTTGAGATGAAGCAAATGCTATTTCTAGATTCCTTATCCTACGTTTATTTAAATTAATGTTCTAAATCAAACGTTAATAACATTTACTGATAACTAGAAATTTGATATCTAACAACGTGATCATGATAATTCTGTTCTATTTAACAATAAGACACTTGAAAAAATAGTTCTTTGATTCAGTGCTTCAAGAACTGTTTCTTGATAGTCCATGTTAGAGAGCCCTTTTTATCAAATTATTAAGATTCACCTGAAACATCGTGAATAGCTTCATCTCCTCGTAACCTACAACTATTTTATTCATGAAAAATCTCGAAAATGGGCCGTTTTCAATCTGGATATTGGTTAAATTTGTCTATTTAATGAGTTATTAAAATCTAGTAAATATTCGTTTGCTTTCCATTTGGATCATAAGATAATTTGATCACAAAATTGAGAAAAAAGGTGGCATACAAAATATTGGGCTGTTTGGCGTGACCTGTAAACCCGACATTTAAAAATAACGAGGTTATATAGGCCAACAGGCGGATCAACGAGGGAGGGCTTTCGGACTGAAGCTCCCCACAAAATGGTAAAATATAACCATATTTTACAGAAAAGAATTTTAAAAACTATTTCTTAAAGAGTTCTTTTTCGTGTTATTACATTTAATAGGGCTTCAAGAACCACTTAAACACCGTTTCATAAAGGTAGTAAATTTCCTTATTTTTGTTTTCAAATTAATTATCGTTATATGTATATGAAAAAATAAACTTTCGGGCAGAAGTCCCCCCAAAAGATTAAATCTGGATCCTCTAGTGTATAGGCCAAACGGTCCAATATTTTTGTTGTCCACTTTTTTTCTCGATTTTGTGATCAAATTATCTTAAGATCCGAGTGAAAAGCAAATGGGTATTGATGAGTTTTTAGTTAAACAGACAAAGTTTGTCGATCTCCAGATTGAAAACACCCAAATTCCAAGATTTTTCGTAAATAAAATATCTTCAGGTTACGATGAGATGAAGCTATTCACGAAGTTTGTGATGGATAGTTATAATTTGATAAAAAGGGGTCTATAGCACGAACTATGATACTTACATAATGTACACATACGGACCCTAAAGTTACAGGCGGATCTACGGGGAGAGGGCTTCTGGGTTAAAGCATCCTCCCCCCCCCCCAAAAAAATTGATAAAACATAACCATGTCTTATAAATAGAATATTTCTAAAAGTATCATTGCTCTTCTAATTAAACCTAATATTCAATAATCACTTGAACACCATTTCATATAGGTAGTTACTCCTTTATTTTTCTTTCAAAGTAATTATAGTTTTATATATATATATATATATATATATATATATAAAGTTTTTTGGCTGAAGTCTCTCCAAAATTAATCCTGGATCCTTCTTCTTCTTTGTCTTCCTCCTTAGTGCCTTTCAGCGTGGAGGGGCCTTCACGCATTTACGCCAGTCATCACGGTCCTTCGCCAGGTCTCTCATATGACCCAACTGTTCACCTCTTTTCTGTCCGAGCTTGGTCACTTCGTCAATCCAAGTTTTTCCGTGGACATCCTCTTGGCCTCTTTTCTGTCGGTCAAAAAATTTTCTGGGTTCCCTGTCCTCGTCCATCTTTATAACGTGGCCGAACCATTTGAGCGTTTTCTTTTCCACGGTTTCCAGCATTGATGGTACCTTAACATTTTCTCTAATCCATTCGTTTCGGATGAAATCTCTTCTAGTTCGGCCAGCTACTCTTCTCAGATATTTCATTTTGGCAGCGGGAAGTCTACTTTTAATCCTGGATCCGCTAGTGCTTAAAGGTGACCAATGGCTAAAGGAATAATAATTAAATGATTAGTGCGCTCGAAGATTCGATATCGACACCTTCACTGATCACGTTCTTCCACTCAACAATCATCATCCAAATTTAAATTCACACATAAGTTTTAACTCCATCCTCTTAACTACGTTTCGGTCTACCCCTAGAACATTGAGTAGGGAATCTGCAGCCTCCGCGAGTTCCCTCTAGCATTCATAAATTCCGTAACTAATACCCATAAGGTATAGGTTAATATTTAATTATATAGATTACGACATGCTGGGTGGATGCGGCGCCGTACAGCGTTGTGTAATCTCCTTAACTATTTTTTGAATTCATCTCTCCTCGGACTAAATATTTTATGCCGTACCTTACTCCCTAGGACTTTAAGATGTTACTCTTCCGTTCTCTTTATAACATTTCTATTCAAAGTCGAGTCAAAAATATTTCGGGGATTTGATTTCTCTGACTCAGATGGTTTCATCCAAGAACCAATAATATCTTATCTTTTTATAAAAATAAAATATGAGTGTGCATTGATTGAGACATATGATAAGCTTTTAGATACAATTTGATAGAAATATTTAGCCCTCAAATTGCTCAACTGGTAGCAGTATCGATCGCTAAACAGTATACAAGTAGAATAATTAATCGGACGAATTATTATTATATTTGGAAATAAATTCTTTACAAGATTTTTGAAAAAAACTAATGATTATAGAAACTTCTCAAGTTTACGAGTATAATGAATGACCTTGGTACATGGGACATTAAGCTTAGTACATAAGATGTCCGCGAATGACTCTATTATCATATTGTTTACCATTTCAACAATCGAAACTTGTAAACCTATTGCTTTTGTATAAAATTTATTTGTAGACATTTCATTACATACTCTTTAAAATTCTTCAAGAATTTGATTAGGGATTATCTCATGAGCAAGCAGAAATTTGTAATCTCCGTAAACATTTTTAGTGTCTAACACAGCCGGATCTACGGGGGAGACGGGAGGAGGCTTTCGGGCTGAAGCCCCCCCCCACCACCAAATGGCAAAATGTAACCATGTTTTATGGAAAAAAATTATCTCTTAAAGTATTATTGTTCGTGTAATTACATTTAACAGGGCTTCAAGAATCACTTAAACACCATTTCATATAGGTGGTTAGCATCTTTCTTTTTTTCCCAAAGTAATTATCTTTATATTTATGAAAAAAAAGCTTTCGGGCTGAAGCTCCCTCCTCCCCCCCCCCAAAAAAAATTCAATCCTGGATCGGCAAGTGATGTCTAATAATAGTGAGACAAGTGATTTATATCAATACATTTTTATATCATTAGAGCTTAAGTTAGATGGCTGATCAGTGAGGTAAATAAAAACCTGCTACGGATTCTGGATCATACACACTATTCAAACAAGGCAGACGATTAACTAATGCACGCTCATAAATGCTTCATTTTAAGTATAAAAGTTTTCAAAATTTCTAACTAATGGACAACTTAAAAGTAATTCAAGATAATATTCCAAGAACACATGAATCTAACGCAATATAAACGCGTCCATTTCTGTTTCTTCATAAAAGTAATTTGAACTTTCAAATCTTGAATTGATTAAAAGATTCCAATGCGATAAAGAATTTCGCAGCAAGAATAGAATGGACTTTATTTACAATGTTATAACAAAAAAGTGGGTCAACCAGAACATGTTCAATAAAAACAAAAAAGAATGTCCTTCACCTACAAGAAAAGGTAGAATTCCTGTCATGATTCAGCGGTTGAAATACTACGTTATTAATAACTACTGTTGTTTTAAATTTAAACTTGACAGTTCCTATTGGAATCAAGTACTGATAAGGTTTAAGGAACTCGAAGGTTGGAAAACGACACCACCTACGATCACGGGCGGATCTACGGGGGGGGGAGGAGTGGAGGGAGGGGGAGGGGGGCTTTCGGGCTGAAGCCCCCCCCAAAAATGGAAAAATATTACCATGTTTTATGGGAAAAAAAATTTTAAAAATACCTCTTAAAGTATTATTGTTCATGTAATTAATTACATTTAAAAGTACTTAAGGAATAACACCATTCCATATAGGTAGTTAGTTTCTTTCTGTTTTTCCAAAGTAATTATCGTTATTTTTATGAAAAAAAAGGTTTCGGGCTGAAGCCCTTCCCTCCCCTCCCCCAAAATTAAATCCTGGATCCGCTAGTGCCTACGATCGTCTACATACTTATATCGATCCATTGAACCCGTTAACTCGTAACCCGTAAAATCCTAAATTTGCAAAAAATTGCACATAACAAAATATTCCCACCTACGTCTCGATCTACTTTCTACAAAGTACTCATAAGTTTGTTAGGGTTTTGTTCATTATTCGCAGAAACATATTCTCTGTGACAGGAGTGCCCAGAGGTGCGTTTCATGGCGCAAGTTGCACCTTCAAAATTTTTAAGGGGCCACATTTCGAGGGTGGTTATAATTTTTCAGTGAGAAAAGTTTTAATCCTGGGAACAAACACCATTTCTAGTTTCAATCATGGATTCAATCACAGCAAATGTATTTTTATATGATCTACGATTTTTTTAATTCTGCTTTCGTTTTTTTATTTATTATTTTTTTTTTTTTTTTTTGAGAGGAGAACAATAACATTTCTTGGGAGGAAGTTGGAGTTTATGCGCCATCAACCTTGGGGGGGGGGGGGTGGTTACCTCTGCACTGTGATATTTATATAGTCGATGTCATTTTCATTTCTTCATACTGTTAAAATACAAAATAAAAAAAAGTGAGTGTTTTTGAGATTTCTGGAATTTCATTGGAGTACCAACTTGTATCGAAATAATGACTGTAAAGTGTTTTTTTTTAATTATACTAAATTTTAGCAAGAAAATGTTTCGTCAACGAACATTGGATGAATATACAAAATATGAAATGAAAATTACACCACCCTTTCATTTTATACGATGAATCAAATAGAACCTACTTAACATCTAGAATTTATTTACCAGTGATTTCATCATTTCTTCGTCTTTAAATTTGTAATGAATCTAACCAAACACACAAATAGTCCAAGGTACAGAATCCTTTTTATTAAATTACTATTATCTATCTATAACTTCATTAATTGCTTAATTTCATCTTAACCAATGACTTTTTTATTTACGAAATTTCTCGGAAATCAGACTTTTTAACTCTGGAGATTGCTAAAATTTGTCTATTTTACGAGGGACTAAAATCTCTTCAACGCTGATTTGTGTTTCACCTGAATAATTTAATCACAAAATCGAGAAAAAGTTGGCCTACAAAAATATTGGGTCGTTTGGCTTATATCTGTACTCTGGAGATAATGAACACCATGTCCATTTTTGTATTTCTTTATTGACGCCAATTTTCCATGACTTAGAGCTATAAAAATTGGTTTCTTAGTTACTAAATAATTTAATAAAAAATGCACATGTGTTTATCTCCGGGGGACAGATATAATCTTGTTTTTTTGACATGTTTGAATCGGTCACGCCAAACAGACCAATATTTTTGTGGGCCACTTTTCCTCTAGATTTTGCTATAGAATTATTTTAAAATCCAACAGGAAATTAGAAGAGTATTCTTGAGTTTTTATTACCTCATTAAATTAATTAGTTTAATGAGAATACTATATTTCTGAGAACTTTCATAGATAAAAAAGTTGTGCGTTACTATAAGATGAAGGCATACACTGGGTTTTAGACGGATGTTAATAATTTGTTAAAAAGGAGTCTGTAACCCTTTTTTGACAGGGCAGACGCTAACAAGTCAAAGTTAAATGCGGATAAGACGAAGGCAATCATAGTAGGCTCCAATCAGTTCCATAAATTGCTTAATTACGATTCATCTTCGAGATCCCAAGGAACGCCTCTGTTCCCCGTTTTTATGAAGAGTTGAAGTGACTTTATCCTTCCTACCTTCATAAGTACTTCCTAGCATCCTTCCTCTTCCAAGTAATCTAATCCCGCCTTCCTTCAAACATCTCCCAACTCCTTCAATTCAAATCCTTGATTCATTCTCGCAGTACCCGCTCTAGATCTTCAGTTGTATATACAACGATCCACCGAACCGCTACTTTCGACAGATCGTTCATTATCCGATCCTCATCCCTGTGGAACCCCCAACATCCGTCGCTCCAATACCCTTCCTACCATTAAATCCCACCCGTTTAATCATTATTTATCCATCAAGTCACTATAAAATTGTAAATAGATATTACTGTAAATATGTATATAAACTATTAGATCATTAATAATTATTTTTACTCATGTCTTATAATTTATATTTTAATTGATTAAATTCATACTGATACTTTTTTATTATGACTGTTTATTTACTTTGTGATTACTATTTATGTATCTCTGAGGATCCTTAGTCCATATTTCTTTATTATTTTGTATTACTCGTCCCAGAATAAATAAAATATTATTATTTACACATTAGTTTAATACATATTTCTTATTTTTTTAAATCAAAGATGACATGTTTTGAGATTTTCAAAATAATTTTTAAAAATCCTCTTTCGCGGTTTTGTTACATATTGTTTTACTGAGGGTTTTTTCTTTTCTTTTTTCGTCCTTCTCTTCCTCACCTTAAAGGCTATACGGCGTTTTCCCGAACAATGGGATGAGGGTGAGGGATTAATGCCAAAGTTAAAATCCCCAATCGGCACGGGACGTGAACTCGTAATTATTTTTATCAAATTATCTTGTATCAGGTTGACGGGAAACGCATTGCTGTACACACGCGTTAGCCTGATCGGCCATCCGCCTAATATTTAAATTAAGCTATCAAACATCCCTGTAACACAATTAGTTATAATACTCTAGACGAGAGCTTCTGTGATAAGAAACATGGTGAAATATTTAGTTGGTATAACTCATACATACACTAAATATCACGAATATTTGAGACATACAGGTAAAGGCCTATTGTAATCTGACATATAATTGACTCCTTAACTGAATTTGATGAAACATTCGTGGTACAATTTTTAATAGAACTGCCATATCAAATTTAAAAAAACTGTGTCCACTCACACTACTTTCCTACCTATTTCAGAAAAGTTTGTATATCTTTAGATATGTCTATCACGAAAAATAATTGAATTCGATTTATTTTCCTGAAAATTGATGAAAGAAAAGATTTGAGTACTATTTGTTTGATAAACTAAAGTATTGTAAACCAGTAACAGTGTAAAAATTTCAATAGCCTCTAATATTGCTGATCGAAAACTTGTTGCCATCAATTAATTTTGTCAAACAATAATTTCTGTTAAAAGTAGAGGAAATAGTGAAGCTTGTGTGATGCGGACAACAGATTTTCTTATTTTTATATAATCATGTTTTTTCTCTCATCCACCTCTTTCTGACAAAAGGATATGAACCCGTAATCCTACGGTGGAATTGAATAGCTGTAACTTCGTTAATAGTTGTCCAAAATGACCGATTTTTATATAGTTATGTTGGGAATTTCATTACATTTAAAAAAACAGACTCAGGGAGCTCTGAAACGTATAGATCCGTCGAAAACCGCATATCGGAAATATGACCCGATACTTCCCTTACCTACTATAGGTAGGAAAGTAAAAAAACAACGTATGAAAAAAGTGTTGGAATTCTTTTTAAAAGTTTATTACATACTCAAGAAATTAATTGACGTTTCTTGTATGGCATTTTTTTATGCATGTATTATGTTGTGGGCATACATTCCATACCCAAAACTTTTAATTCTTGACCACCTCAATCAGAATGTTCTTATCTTCTAGGAGGTTTCACCATAATGGGGTTCTCCACGGTCACCATTGACCTTCTGATGCGTGGTACAATTTCGCCCATCCAGACGCAGACAAGTGCGTTCGGGAAAAGCCGATTTGAATTAGCTGAGCTGAAGAGAGGCCAAATGCCTTGCGCCCTGAACGCGTTCTAAATATACTCAGATGGGCAGAGAGTAGTAGTGTGCCACCATGAGCTCTCATCTACCCTACACCTCTTATGTGAGTAGCAAACAGTGTCATATTTGTGATGGTGAAGTTGATATGTAATAGTGTTCAACATCGGCTGGTTGGAATCCCCCAGAACGGATCGTACCGACATTAAACCTTGTATGGATAGTTGTATTGCTTCCTCAATGTCCTTATCGCTAGATCCGCTTATCAGCAATTTCGATATCGAAATTTGCACGAGTTTTAATGGTGCAAGAGACCTTCTTCTAATCGTAAGGAGTGTGTCGTTGTGCGTTATAGTCATGCCCATCATAAAAGATAAGGGAAACATTAGCCGATAACTAAAAAAAAATGTCGATATCCTTTATCCGAGATTTACGCCTCAGATACTTCTCAACCACTACTAAGAACTTCTTTCCAGCATTAATGATTAAAACTCTAGTATAATTGTGATATACATTTTAAAAAATCAGACCACCTACTCATCACTCTTGCTTTAACTTTACAATATGTTGCAGTAAGTTTTAAAAAAAGTTTTATTACAACTATCTCTCTAAAACATAGCTGAACTAAATACACTTAAAATATGTACTAATAAAACAAGAAGATTGACTTAAAATATATTATGAGCTATCAGAATAAATTCTTGTGACTATTATTGTATTTATTTTGTGTACTTGCTAGTTAAAAGTTGCTCAAATTAGCAAATTACCTTAAATATACCTTCATGTACATAAATTGAAAGTTTAGTTTTTTATTTAAAGCCAAATTAATCGATATGTAAAACGCGAAGCTGAATTAAAGATACTATACCCACAAAAGTTTTCAAATTTTTGATAATGATATTTGAGTTGGCATTCTCCCCAATTGGCCATTTAGGAATAATCTTTTTTATGTAAGAAATCAAATGATAGTTTAAATATTTTTAAAATAAATTTTTTTGAAGTGATGATAATAGTTTTGATAAGTTCCTCACTTAAAGAAACGACAGAGTAATTCTAAATCCTCTTTAAAATTCCATTCAGTATATTTCTTGCATGTAACAAACTAAAAAAAGTTGGCGATGAAAGTATTATTGGGCTAAATACATAGCTGTAACTAGGACTTTTTCCAGGAAGACCAAGTTAAATTTTGCTACCTTTAATGCCTCCTTTTCCACTTACAATAAAATTCAACAGGTTTAAAGTACTATTTACAATTATATTTACCTTAAACACTGTTTGAGGTAACACAAATCGAAATAAATGTAATCTCATGACATTTACTCATTTTATTGGAAAAACAAACATTTTTACCGATCTTAAAAATAAATATTCACCCGTAATATGCCACCTTCCAAATTCTGTGGCAAGTGTTTCCTTTGATCTCTTTCCCTAGTTCCGACCTAGCCTAAATGGTTGTATTGAATTTGTTCTGCTAAAGAATAATAATTCTTATCTTATCCATTGATTCTGTTAGAACAATGCCAATTATTTAGAATAATAATCATATCTATAAAAATACTGAGGTAGCTACTTTTAATTAGTCACCAGCCATACAGTCCATCCAGCGGAGCTTTGGCTTACCGAATTTTCTTCATATATATATATATATATATATATATATATATATATATATATATATATTCGTTGATATTTCATCGCTCGTGAATAGCCACCAAATGCAATTTCCTCGGTGTCTACTCGTTAATCATTTTCGCCACATAAGCAGCCATTTTAATCTGGCTCGCACCACAATGGATACGATGTTAGGCTCACCATAAATATCACAAATTTCCTGGTTGGTATTCCTTCTCGACCTTCAATCTCGACATTAATAATGTTAAATTCAAATTTTCGCCGAAGAATCTTTCAAACAGAAGAAAAACACATCGACAAATAGTCTTGGCGGTTGTCAAGTCTTTAAATCACATATGTGAGGATCCTACACCATATGTGAGGATTGGGCGAATTAAAGTTTTGTACAAAATAATCTTTGTTCTGCTTGAAATGAACCTATTCGTCAAGTGGTGCCTCAACCCAAAGTAGCTGCGGTTTGCGGATATCTTCTTCTTCTGATCTCAATCTCTATTTCATTATCAAACATAATTTGGGATAATCCCGGTATGTGAATACAGTGACTTGTTCGAAAAAGTAATTTCCAACCCGCACTTTCTCCTTGGTCTTAGGGGTCTGCTTGGATACCACGCACTTGTTTTTTCTTGGTTAAACTCGCAAACAAAGTCTTCTTGTTTTTTTGTTTTTTCGAGAGCAGAGGATGTCGCTCTTGCTGCTTGTAGTGATCTTCCCATAATGTCTACATCGTCTGCTAATGTTAACAACTCTACCCACCTGATGAATACTGAGGTCTGAATGTCTGAATCACTAACTGCTTTTTCCATTGCTTGGTTGAAATCTAGGGTATTTCCATGATGGATACCTCTCATTGACTTGACTCATTGAGCTTTTTTACCTGTATTTTCCAGTCGAAATCTAGTCTGATTAGTGCATAATTTTCTCTCCGCGAGCGGAAGTAATCTTTTAAACAGTAAACAAAACATTGGACAGAACCTTGGATAGAAACGATAGGCATTTAGAAGGGAAATGGCACGGTAATTGCAACATGTAAGTCTCCTTTATTGTAGATTGGGCAAACTAGGGATTTCTTCCATCCAATATAGAATCATCTCTTTCAGCCATATGTCATGATGAGCTTGTAAAAAGCCTTTTCAAGAACAGCACCTTTCTATTTTAGGATTAGGGATATCATTCAATGCCTTATGATTTTTTAATTTTGCTTCCTCACTACCGAAGGTACGGAAGCATTGTATTCATGCGAGAGATTAAATAAAATGTTGTGCTCAGATTTGGAAATCTCCACTCACCATTTTCCGTTTTACACATCAAGGATCAAATTTGGTTCAGTGTCTGTTTGTCGTCAAATCCATGTAACGGGCTTATCACCGACTACTGTTTATCCGATTTTCATGAGAGTTTCAGTGATTGTGCAGGTTGGTGTCTAGATGGTCCCATATCAATCTTATTAAATTATAACCAGCACTTCCGCTTACGGATGAGAAACCGTATTTTTGTAGATATGACAATATCTAGGGCTCTATTTTTGTAGATATAACAATATTTCAGAAACGGCTCAAAGTTCATAAAAGTTGGTTAAAAGTCACGGCTTCAAATTGGATAAAAAATAGATATTTCTGAAAAATAACGTACGGTCAATTTGATTGAATTCTGTCTATTGCTTTCTCTTATATATGCGCAAACGTGTTTTCCTTGATACGTCAATATCTCTAAAACCGCAAATTCGAGTTTGCTCAAACTTGGAGAGAATTTAGGGATTGGTCAGCGTAAAATGAAATATGCATAAATTTTATCAAATTCTATCTAATATTAAAAAAAAAAAAAACTTTCACTCTCAGATTAGGAAACGCGTTGTTTGATATGGCTATAGTTTGAAAACGGTGCATTCGATTTGACCCAAAATTGGAGGAAATTTGGAGATCAATATATAAATTACTTAGTATCAATTTTATTGAATTTCATTTAATAATTAAAATTAATATAAATAATTGTTAACAATATTAACGACTATGAAATGTGGAAATCACTGATCATAAGGAGTGGGAGTTAGGTTATTACAATATTGTTATGGTGTTATAAAATTGTAGGTTTTATTCAAATCAACTTGTTATTCGTGATTGTGTTTATTTCCATTGAAGTTCAACCAGCTCGCCGTGGTCTCGATTTTTTCCTTATATCAAAATATCAAAATTGTGTCAAGTTTACTCATATTTTTATATTCCTGCTTAATTAGTTTTGTTCTGACTGAAGAAAAGTATTGGTCTCGTTAACTCCGATCAAATAAAAAGTTGCATTTTTCCTATCGTTTTTTTTGTTCCATTCATTTTACGACTGAAACCATACATATTAAGTATATATCACTACTATTAGTGCAAAGGTTTTATGTAAAAGTTTTAAATTTTTATTCTATTTTTGACATTATGTAGTCTACTATTGATATAAGCAGTCTACTAATACTAAGAATAGCAGGGAGCAATTAAATATAAAATTATACTAATAAATCATAAAGAAATAATTAGTTTTTATGCTCTCCTGTAAAACAATCAATTTTTACATACGTCATTTGCACTAACAGTAGCGGGATACATATTCATTTTCATGTAGACTATAGTCACTTGGTATACTGAAAGAATACCTCTCCTTCATAAAGAAGTAATGTATATATTCAATAATATTTAGAGACTTCAAAATATCCTGAGCATAAAATACACTGGACCATGGTTCAGCAAAGCTAGCCGCCGGCAAATCCACAACAAGTACGATGTTTTTGGCATTTCTATTGTAAATTTAAATAAGTTACGAGTTTTAAGTTTCACAGTGGAATACACACTTGATCATCAAATTTCATTTGGCCAGCAATTGTTGATGAAGATGAAAATGTTCATCACAGGCTAAAGAAAAATTTCAGATGTTAAAATAATTTTTGTTTCTCTTGATAGAGACAGTTTTACTAAAAACTGCTTAAACAAAATAAAATTAATTGCAAATAATAATAAAAGCTAATATGTTTCCAATAGGTAAAATATATATTTGTATGTTATATTTAAACAGAACAGGTGCGTTATGATTATTCCATTATTTTAAGTCATTCAGCATAAAAAATAATTGTTTATAAGCTCTAGAAACAAATTTAGAAAGTTCATGGAAATTTCCAACCATATGAAACAATTACATGATATTGATATTTTGACCAATGAACACTTTTGACCCAAGTTCAGATAGTACAGACCCGTTTTCATCAAATTATTAACATCTGCCTAAAACTATAGCTTCATCTCATCTTAACCTAAAAAGATTTTATTTACGAAAATTCTCGAAATTGGAGCGTTTTCAATCTGGAGATCGACAAACTTTGTCTATTTAATTAGGGCCTAAAAACTCATGAATACCCATTTGCTTTCCACTGGAATTGTATGATAATAAATTCGAAAATAAAGGTGGCCTACAAAAATATTGGCCTATTTCGCGTGAACTCTACTCACAAAATGTCATAATAACGTGGTTATATAAGCCAAACGGTCCAATATATACTAACTTTGTAAATAACTTCATCTAATGAAAACACTTTAAATTGGGGCGTTTTTAATCTGGAGGCTGATCTCTTATTTGAAGGAAAAGGTGGTTTTCAAAAATATTGGGCCGTATGTCTTACATAACCTCGTTATTTTGACAATTTGGGAGTGTTGGTCACGTCAAACAGCTCAATACTTTTGAAGGCAACTTTTTTTTTCCTCGATTTTATGATCATGTTATTTTTACGATTCGAATGGAAAGCAAATGGGTATTCACGAGTTTTTAGTACTTAATTAATCCAGATTGAAACGCCCCAATTCCGAGAATTTTCGTAAATGAAATATTTTTACGTTACGACGAGATAAAGTTATTCACGAAGTTTCTGGCGGATGTTAATATTTAAAAAAAAAAAGGTTCCTTACGAAGGACTATAAATCGTATTCAATTTATTTTAATATTATAAATCATATACAATTAATATTTCAACATATTATGTAAGATTTACCAATCGTAACGGCTATTGAAGGTAAGATATTAACGGATCGTTTCTCGGAGTTTCATTTGTTGATTATAGTTGGCCATGAAGAGGGCTTCTAAAATCGCGTTCACACATTTCACAAACTATGGAAAACATGAACGTGTAAATGGAGTGTTTCTCTAGCCTAATGTTTGTCACCTGTCTTCATCAACTGTCGATTTTTCAAG